TGTCATCCTATCCTGGTGGCCCGTAATTATTTTATTTTACTAGGGTATCTAAAAGATAGTAATGCTGCGGCACATTCTGTTGATACTGGAATTAGTTAGGCAGTGAGACTTAAAAGAATCAAAAATGGCATTGAATGTCCTATTTACATGTTGGAAAGTACTAGAATAATTACTATCAATCTATAGAAAGAACTCGTGGGAACGTCGTTTAGAAAACGATCAAGTGGTTATCAACTCTGGTTTTCCCACAGTAAATTGTAGGAAATAATAGAAATTCAGATTGTTTATCCATATATTTAATATGCGGTGCACGATATTTTCTCTGGAAACACAATACTTTTCTTGCTGTTTGTTGCACTTTATTAAGTAACAGTTATTTAGCTATATATTTATAGAAAACAACAACACAAAAAACGGAAAAAAAAAGAAAGTAGGAACCAATAATTGAGTAGGACTCAAACCCGGCACCTTCGAGTCTGAGCAGCGAACGATGCACTCTCTCACCCACCGAACTTCCCCGTGTTTTTATTTGAGTTGTTCGTGGCGCAATGCACTCTGGTTAAATGCAATGCATTGTGGTAAAAAGTGTGGTTAAATGCAATGCATTGTGGTAAAAAGTGATGAATTCGAGAATTCGTCGCCCCTTATATATTTCCTTTAAATCCTGATTATGTTGCTGCTCGCTCCCTTCGGTCGCTCCGCAGCAATTATCATCATGTCTACATTATTATTTGTTTATTGCATGGAGAGGAATTATACAACAATTTATTTATTTCAAATTTTAAGTTCAGTGTCAACTTTTTTTTCCATAGATCTTCAACAGTTATGCTTCAATAATGTGCACCTTTGGCACAAAAAGGCACTTTTTATCAAGCAACAGTGGAGCAGCAGCATAATTGAATAGTCACAAACCACAGTAGTATTAAAGACTGGTAAGAAGACTGTTGAATATGCATTTTTTTATTTTAACAAGTGGCAACATAAGAATAAGACTTGTTGGCTCCCTGTAAACATAGCCTTTCTTTTGCTTATTACTTGATTTTGGTGTACATGAGAAAGACTCTACATGAATTGAGTAAGATTTTGTGAAGCATGCTTTGCACGTTGCTGGGATATACAATGTAGTTTTTGAACCCAGGCCTGATGGCCTGGCACTTGGTTCAACGGGTTCAGTTATGACCTGGATTTGGTCTCGCACTTGGAAAAAACCAGTTGTCAAGAGAGAACAAGATTGAGTTGTCCAGAAGTTTGTGCTGCGGTGACTTCTAAGGCATGTCAAAGCAATTCAGGCAGAATTAACATGAGAACACATTATTTTTTACCGTCAGCATCTATACAACTGGAACATGTACACAAAAGGTATAAAACCATTAGTGTCCAAATTTTGAGGTTTCTGTGATGCAGAGGTGAGTTAGGATTTCCATAATGACATAAGCACCTTTGGCACAATCTCTAATCACTTTGACCTATGGAAGAATGGGATCCTGTTGGTGGTGTTAAAGATTCCAGAACCGGAAAAGAAGCTAATTCAGGAAGTCCAAACTAATCTGTAAGCTGCTTGCTGTAAATCCTACTACCAGCGCTGGTGGTAAGGGTTCATTCTCATCTGTACATACGGCGTCTGAAGACGTGGCTTCGATCCAGGATGGGTGACGAAAGGTTTAGCAACCAAGTAGTAATGTTGAATGGTCACAAGCTGAGAACAGAAGTGTCTCTATAAAGCTGACGATGCACAGGAGTTTGTTTCCAGCAATGAGGACCGCAAAAGAAACTTCGGAACTGCGGACAACTTCAAAAAGCAGCAATCTTAGGAAGGTTTACTTAACATATTGACTATACTGGATACCACAACACGTGACGACATTTTATGGAGTGGGGCGTAGAGGGAGTACGAATACCGCAATACCGCACATGGTAGCGTGAGAGTACCGCAATACCACATCAAAATTTAGCCAAATACCGAAACCGCAGTTACAAATGGGAAAAAGTCGACGTTGTCAATACTACAAATTCCCCTTTCAAATAATAATAATACTTTTACGTCAGTGTTTCCAAATCAAGGTGCGTCGAAGTCAAGCGTGCGATAAACATAAGATCATCGCACTCGTTTAATTTTGTTCATGACACGTATACATTTACGTAAATGATACAACGGGGGTACTTGGGTTAATATTTGCTGGGTATGCGCCGCTGGCCTCTCAGAGCCCCTACCCATTATAGTCTATTCTGTGGCTAATTATAGACACCATCTTAGTCACTTTTGGACAAACATTTAATTTTTGCGATCTCAGCTTAGTCACTTTGTAGTTTATGAATTGACCATTTTTTAGATTGAATGAAGAACAGTTTACTTTTCATCAACAGTGCAAACATTCTGGTACGTTTGCTAGCCGTAAATATGAAGAACTGTCTTACCCCCAAAAATCAGAAAATGGGGGACCCCATTCTAGTAACTCTCTGAAAATGCGACCCCATTATAGTCAATCCAGTCATGAAAATGCGACCCCATTAAGCGGCGCATCCCCATTAGCCTCTTATAAGGAAGTAACCCCCACGTCCCCTGGGCTGCCATGCTTCGTTGGCTAAGCACACACGAATACTTGCACATTCTATATTCCTGCATGCACAACGAGAAGGACGAGTAGTAATTTTTAGACCACACCATCTTCATAGATTATCTTTCGACCCTACGAAATTTATAACGACCTCACTGACCTCACTATTTGCTGGAATATCTGACTGATCACTTAGTTGACCCTCTGGATCGCTCGCCATTGTTTCGCGACTGGCATGAAAGTGGCAGTAAGATTGGTAAGGAGGTTTATAACCAAGCTGACTATTCCCACAAGGTCCATGAGGTCATAAGTAATGCGACATGTTTACTTATCATTGGATAAAAAAGTTAATGTCGTTAATCATATCAAGTATTAACTGAAATACAAGCCATACTATTTGTCTGGACAGTTTGCGCAATATACAATCCCCGACTGTGCAACTATAGGAAGACACGCGGGTCACGCAGGCTAGCTAGGGAGACGTTTTAGAATTTGTATCCTCTTGTCATGAAAAGAAGCAGATCACCGTGACACAACGATTTTTTCACCAACTACCGCGACATAAAATTTAGACTCACCACACACCGCTTGGACTCTGAAAACCGCAATACCGTGCTTTGAAATAAAAATTACCGCAACAGTGCACCAAAAAAACCCCAATGCCGCAATACCGCAAACCCTTACGCCCCCCTCTTTATGTTATATTTGTTGAGGCTGTAAATAAGATTGTGCGCAAATGCAAGATAAATGGTGAAACACTGAACTTAATGCTTCTTTGTATTGACCAGATTTTTTAGCCCTGCCACTTTAAAATGGTCTCCGCGGTCCTTGCTGTTTGTAGAATGCCAGCATGTCCACTCCTTCAGGAACCTTTTTATCTCTTGGTGGAACGACAGTAACTCTCCCATAGTGTCTTTGATCAATAACAATAAAATTTATGGATATCTCCCTGAGAACATTCCTTCCACATGTTTAATCTTTGCCTGATAATTGCTCACTTTAATATCTATACCGAAGCCAAAGAAAGCGAACTGTATAGTTTCTTAGTGTTTAAAGCTTTTTTGAAACACAAATTATCTGCAGAGCCTTCAGGCATTTGAGAATCCTTTAGCCTTCAGCCGTACACATTTGGCATGTTGATTTGATTTTTGTCAGTGTTTTTTAATGTAGATTAGTATTGTAATTACCTGTGTACGAATTATTTCTTTTCTTGTACCATTTATTTTAGTTTTGTAGTGTCTCTCCCTGTTAATATTGATTATTTTATTGTACTTAAGCTTAAATAAAATTTAAATGTGGCTAAATATCATTTAGGCAAAGTTAAACTCGAGCGAGTTGGCCAGCAGTCTTCTCCCACTTCAGTATGTGACCTACGGGGCGGCCCGCGGGGAATTGCAGGGCTCCTTGTGTGCCCTGTTGCTAGTGTTGCTTTGCATTGTAGCTTTGCTTGCTGATTGTAGCGGATCATTTCTTAGCCTTCTTGCAAATCAGTGCGGATTCTTGCTGATAGTCGCGGATCAATGTTTGCCTTCTTGCGAATCATTGCGGATTCTTGCTCCCTCTCCTCCCTCCCTGCCTGGTGGTTTGGTAAGTATTTTCTCAGGTAAGTATTCTCTTAGGTAAGTATCTCCACTGAATTTATTCAGTGTGACGGTGCCGGTTAGTGGCTGCTCCTGGGGTGGTTCCCGCTTCCAGGGTTGCCATGGATACCT